GGCTCGACTTGTGAGAGTCTGGTCCACCAGGCTGTTGCTTGGAGCGGCCCGCAGGGCCACGTACCCACCACAGCCCGGCTGATCCGGAACTTCTCTTAGAAAACCGTCCAGTTTTCTCTTGAAGATGTCCACGGTTGTTCTGGCAATATTTCTTATAGTAGCTGGGAGGACGTTGAACAACCGCGGACCTTTGATGTTCATACAGTGTTCTCTGATTGTGCCTATGGCACCTGTGCTCTTCACTGGTTCAATCTTGCATTTTCTTCCATATCGTTCACTCCAGTACGTTGTTATTTTATTGTGTAGATTTGGGACCTGACCCTCCAGTATTTTCTATGTGTATATTATTTGGTATCTCTCTCGTCTCCTTTCTAGAGAGTACATTTGGAGAGCTTTGAGACAATCCCAATAATTTAGGTGTTTTATCTCGTCTATGTGTGCCGTATATGTTCTCTGTATTCCCTCTATTTCAGCAATCTCTCCTGCTCTGAAGGGGGAAGTGAGTACTGAGCAGTACTCGAGACGGGACAACACAAGTGACTTGAAAAGTACAACCATTGTGATGGGATCCCTGGATTTGAAAGTTCTTGTAATCCATCCGATCATTTTTCTGGCTGACGCGATATTTGCTTGGTTATGCTCCCTAAACGTTAGATCGTCGGACATCATTATTCCCAAATCCTTGACATGCTGTTTTTCTACTATGGGCAGATTCGATTGTGTTTTGTACCCTGTATTATGTTTCAGATCCTCATTTTTGCCGTACCTGAGTACCTGAAATTTATCACTGTTAAACATCATGTTATTTTCTGCTGCCCAATAGAAAACTTTGTTGACATCTGCTTGTAGTTTTTCAATGTCTTCAGCAGAGGTAATTTTCATGCTGATTTTTGTGTCATCTGCAAAGGACGACACGAAGCTGTGACGTGTATTTTTATCTATATCAGATATGAGAATAAGGAACAGTAGCGGTGCAAGGACTGTACCTTGAGGTACAGAGCTTTTAACATCGCTTGGACTCGATTTTATCTGATTGACTGTTACTCTTTGTGTTCTGTTCGATAGGAAATTGAGTGTCCAGCGTCCTACTTTTCCAGTTATTCCCATTGACCTCATTTTGTGAGCTATCACCCCATGGTCACATTTGTCGAACGCCTTTGCAAAGGCGGATAGGCCAGGTTTGTTTACGTTAGGATAGGCCAGGTTTGGTTAGGTTATGATAGGCCAGGTTTGGTTAGGATAGGCCAAGTGTGGTTAGGTTAGCTTAGGATAGGCCAAGTGTGGTTAGGCTGCCTTAGGATAGGCCAAGTGTGGTTAGGTTAGCTTAGGATAGGCCAGGTTTGGTTAGGTTAGCTTAGGAACAGCCAGGTTTGGTTAAGTTAGCTTAGGATAGGCCAGGTTTGTAAGGTTAGCTTAGGATAGGTTTCCCATTCATTTTAATGATTTTATCAAGTTGGATTTTAAAATTCATCAGTGTTTTGGCATTTATGGTATTGGCAGGTAGGCAGTTCCATGGGTTTAATAACCATGTGGATGAAAAAACATCTCATGTTTTCAGTCCTATAAAACAGTACTCTGTATATAAATCCTCAACAGGGGAGCCGGTCGGCCAAGCGGACAGCACGCGGGACTTGTGATCCTGTGGTCCTGGGTTCGATCCCAGGCGCCGGCGAGAAACAATGGGCAGAGGTTCTTTCACCCTATGCCCCTGTTACCTAGCAGTAAAATAGGTACCTGGGTGTTAGTCAGCTGTCACGGGTTGCTTCCTGGGGGTGGAGGCCTGGTCGAGGACCGGGCCGCAGGGACACTAAAGCCCCAAAATCATCTCAAGATAACCTCAAGATAACATCTCAAGTATATAGGTCCTCAACAGTATACAAGTCCTCAACAGGCTTGTTGAGTTTGAAACCGTTGCTCCTTGCTTGTGTTAATCAAACCTTTTGAAGAAGTTGTCTAGGTCAACATCCTTCAAACTGTTCAGTATGCTTCAATGAGATCAGAAGAAAATCAGGAGCCTTTGCTTTCAATGATATCTGCCCTGGTATGCCTGGTTTGTGTTGTTAGCCCTGTAGACCTAAACTGTTTCTGGTATGTGAGCTGACTTTGTTCTTAGTGGTTTTTGTCTAGTGTTGAACGTTCTCCAAGATTAGTGATGGTGTAACACAACTAGACATGTCACCTCCTTCAATCCTACTGGTTAGGTTCTTGTGTTGGGGTCATTAACAGAGGCCTCTGTATAGGTATGGTTAGTCTATATTCTTATATTACCTGAGGGCCAACATCTATCTAGTGGCCACGACAGGGACAGGAATGCAGCGGCTTCTTAAAAACAATATCAACTACAGGTTGTCACTACCCATGTGTAAATTGTGGCTGTGAGTATTGTCACGGTTCCGTCCCTCATGGGGTCGGGTGTTGAACCCTGGGGCCGGGGTCATGCAAACCCAGGGGCAGGGGTTATGCAAACCCGGGGGCCAGGATTATGCAAACCCTAGGGCCGGGGGTCGTGCAAACCTTGGGGCCGGGGTCATGCAAACCCTATGGTCGGGGTCATGTGAACATCGAGGCTGGAGCCATTCGAACCCTGGGGCCGGGGTCATGCGAACCCTGGGGCCGGGGTCATGCGAACCCTGGGGCCGGGGTCATGCAAACCCTGGGGCCGGGGTCATGCAAACCCTGGGGCTGGGGTCATGCGAACCCTGGGGCCAGGATCATGCAAACCCTAGGGCCGGGGGTCGTGCAAACCTTGGGGGCTGGGGTCATGCAAACCCTAAGGTCGGGGTCATGTGAACATCGAGGCTGGAGCCATGCGAATCCTGGGGCCGGGGTCATGCAAACCCTGGGGCCGGGGTCATGCGAACCCTGGGGCCGGGGTCATGCAAACCCTGGGGCTGGGATCATGCAAACCCTGGGGCCGGGGTCATGCAAACCCTGGGGCCGGGGTCATGCAAACCCTGGGGCCGGGGTCATGCAAACCCTGGGGCCGGGGTCATGCAAACCCTGGGGCCGGGGTCATGCGAACCCTGGGGCCAGGGTCATGAGAACCCTGGGGCCAGGGTCATGAGAACCCTGGGGCCGGGGTCATGCGAACCCTGGGGCCGGGGTCATGCGAACCTTGGGGCCGGGGTCATGCAAACCTTGGGGTCGGGGTCATGCGAACCTTGGGGGCCGGGGTCATGCGAACCCTGGGGCCGGGGTCATGCGAACCTTGGGGCCGGGGTCATGCGAACCTTGGGGCCGGGGTCATGCGAACCTTGGGGCCGGGGTCATGCGAACCTTGGGGCCGGGGTCATGCGAACCCTGGGGCCGGGGTCATGCGAACCCTAAGGTCGGGGTCATGTGAACATCGAGGCTGGAGCCATGCGAATCCTGGGGCCGGGGTCATGCGAACCCTGGGGCCGGGGTCATGCGAACCCTGGGGCCGGGGTCATGCAAACCCTGGGGCCGGGGTCATGCAAACCCTGGGGCTGGGGTCATGCGAACCCTGGGGCCAGGATCATGCAAACCCAGGGGCAGGGGTTATGCAAACCCGGGGGCCAGGATTATGCAAACCCTAGGGCCGGGGGTCGTGCAAACCTTGGGGCCGGGGTCATGCAAACCCTATGGTCGGGGTCATGTGAACATCGAGGCTGGAGCCATTCGAACCCTGGGGCCGGGGTCATGCGAACCCTGGGGCCGGGGTCATGCGAACCCTGGGGCCGGGGTCATGCAAACCCTGGGGCCGGGGTCATGCAAACCCTGGGGCTGGGGTCATGCGAACCCTGGGGCCAGGATCATGCAAACCCTAGGGCCGGGGGTCGTGCAAACCTTGGGGGCCGGGGTCATGCAAACCCTAAGGTCGGGGTCATGTGAACATCGAGGCTGGAGCCATGCGAATCCTGGGGCCGGGGTCATGCAAACCCTGGGGCCGGGGTCATGCGAACCCTGGGGCCGGGGTCATGCAAACCCTGGGGCTGGGATCATGCAAACCCTGGGGCCGGGGTCATGCAAACCCTGGGGCCGGGGTCATGCAAACCCTGGGGCCGGGGTCATGCAAACCCTGGGGCCGGGGTCATGCAAACCCTGGGGCCGGGGTCATGCGAACCCTGGGGCCGGGGTCATGAGAACCCTGGGGCCAGGGTCATGAGAACCCTGGGGCTGGGGTCATGCGAACCCTGGGGCCGGGGTCATGCGAACCTTGGGGCCGGGGTCATGCAAACCTTGGGGTCGGGGTCATGCGAACCTTGGGGGCCAGGGTCATGCGAACCCTGGGGCCGGGGTCATGCGAACCTTGGGGCCGGGGTCATGCGAACCTTGGGGCCGGGGTCATGCGAACCTTGGGGCCGGGGTCATGCGAACCTTGGGGCCGGGGTCATGCGAACCCTGGGGCCGGGGTCATGCGAACCCTGGGGCCGGGGTCATGCGAACCCTGGGGCCGGGGTCATGCGAACCTTGGGGCCGGGGTCATGCGAACCTTGGGCCCGGGATCATGCGAACCCTGGGGCCGGGGTCATGCGAACCCTGGGGCCGGGGTCATGCGAACCCTGGGGCCGGGGTCATGCGAACCCTGGGGCCGGGGTCATGCGAACCCTGGGGCCGGGGTCATGCGAACCCTGGGGCCGGGGTCATGCGAACCCTGGGGCCGGGGTCATGCGAACCCTGGGGCCGGGGTCATGCGAACCCTGGGGCCGGGGTCATGCGAACCTTGGGGCCGGGGTCATGCGAACCCTGGGGCCGGGGTCATGCGAACCCTGGGGCCGGGGTCATGCGAACCCTGGGGCCGGGGTCATGCGAACCCTGGGGCCGGGGTCATGCGAACCCTGGGGCCGGGGTCATGCGAACCCTGGGGCCGGGGTCATGCGAACCCTGGGGCCGGGGTCATGCGAACCCTGGGGCCGGGGTCATGCGAACCCTGGGGCCGGGGTCATGCGAACCCAGAGTGTCAATACTGAACCATCTCTTTCACACACCAATAATCTCAGCAACATACAATGTACACACACATGAAAGATAGCCAGTACCTTACATATATTGTTAGCACAAGCAAGGTAACTGCATGCTCGTCCTCACTGGTGCAGAAAGCGTCAAGTCGCGGATATCCTAGACGATAACTACTGCTGTTTATCTTCAGTTGTTTACATCCTCCTCAGGCATCCCACACTCCCTCCTCCTGATACATCCCACACTCCCTTCTCCTCAAATTCAAATTCGTATCTTTATTCAGATAAAAGTATATACATAGAAAATGAATTACAAACATAATGTTGGATTTATTGATAGAGCTAGTACATACAATGCTCATGCCTCTTTTTTCTCATTGAAATTGAAATTGAAATAAGTTTATTGAGGTAAAATACACACAAAGGGATGAGGTAGCTCAAGCTATTCTCACCCCGTTCAGTACAACGTGTTAATACATACATAGACACACATCACAAACAATAAACATATTACCAAACATTCTGAGAGATAAACATATACATTTCCTCCTTCACAAGTAGTATGGTATCAGACGTACACACAAATACTTTTATGACCTAGGTATACTATATAGACAATTTGCAAGAGACATGCAGATAATTCAACAAAATATTACAGTCTTGGTGCAAAATTCTTATATCTCTCAAGAATATCATCAACCTTTCCGTTGTGACACATCCAGGCTATTTGTTCAGGAACAGTCCTTATCTCAGTGTTTCTATATACAGTAATCAACGGACAATCAAGAACATAATTTTTATTTTTTATTTTTATTTATTTTATTTTATTTATATATATACAAGAAGGTACATTGGGTTTGAGAGAATACATTGGATAGTACAGTATTTACATTCTTGTAAAGCCACTAGTACGCACAGCGTTTCGGGCAGGTCCTTAATCTAGCAGATAATTTTAAGTAGGTAATTTCAATCAGAATTGATAAATGAAAGATACATTACAAGAGAAAAATGAGATGAGAGAGATAAGTAAGTATATTAAAGCACATTGTTATATTAAAGCTCTGATTGATTACATTGACAGCTTGATTAGTAATTTAAACAGGATTAATAGACACCATACAGCAGATTGACAGCACATATAAGACAGCAATGATCACAATGGTAAAGATGTTCAGAATGGGTACATAAAGATTGGGAGACTGGGTAGCAAAAGATACAGATAACAAGATTTATAAACACCATACAACAGATTGGCAGCACATATAAGAAAAAAGCAATGATCACAATGGTAAAGATGTTCAAATTGGGAACATAAAGGTTGGGAGATTGGGTAGCAATAGATAAAGTGCAATTTTAAGGCAAAAAGTGAAAAACTATGAAGATGAAATTAGGTACTTTTTAGTATTGATTTTGAATGATGTAAAAGTTGGACAGCTTTTCAATTCAGTAGGGAGTGAGTTCCATAAACTGGGTCCCTTTATTTGCATAGAGTGTTTACACAGATTAAGTTTAACTCTGGGGATATCGAAGAGATATTTATTTCTGGTGTGGTGATAATGGGTCCTATTACATCTGTCCAGGAAGAGTTTCAGACAAGGATTTGCATTTAAGAACAGGGTTTTGTAAATGTAGTTGACACAGGAGAATTTGTGGAGTGAGATTATGTTTAGCATGTTTAGGGAGTTAAACAAGGGGGCTGTGTGTTGTCTGAAAGCAGAATTTGATATTCTGATTGCAGATTTTTGCTGGGTGATGATGGACTTGAGGTGGTTTGCAGTGGTTGAACCCCATGCACAGATACCATAGTTGAGATAGGGATAGATTAGTGCATAATATAGAGAGATGAGAGCAGAGTTAGGAACATAATATCTGATTTTGGAGAGTATACCAACTGTTTTAGAGACTTTCTTAGTTATGTGTTGGCTAACGCAAAGTACACGAAACATCTTAAATTGTACACCCGTAGTAAAACGATCTTATAGCCTAGTAACAAACTCTGCAGAAACCTAATGTCCTAATGTCTAGAATTAGCAGTGAGGCGAATGTAACAAATCTAATACTAAGTATAACAGGACACCAAAGTGAACAACATAACATAAGGGAAACCCTAGCTGGAGAATAATCAGGCGGCAGAAAACATAGGGCTGGGGAAGCCTGATATGTATTTGGAGAAGAAAATAACCCCAGGCCAGAGGCCGAGCCGCCAAGGAAGGAATTACCTGACAAGGTAGGGCTTACTAGTAGAATGTCTGTAAAGTCAAAGTAGTAGCTGCGGACAGCGGAACACTTGGGGACGGGCGCTGCACCCCCACCCCGCAGGCCAGCAGGCCGGACCCCCCCCCCCCGAAGGGCGAGTGCCCGCTGGCCGCGAGGGAAACCTCAGGGAGGCAGAGCAACTACGCTACAAAACTAGGAAGGAAGGAGGACAAACTGGAGGAGCTCGCACATCGCCTCGACTTATGCCCCCTGGCCTTGGCCCGTGGGCGACGGTCGGTGAAGGTGGGGGGCAGGGGCGGCTGTAGCAGCCGCGGCAGGGTCTGCCTCGGTGGTTCCCATGCCCTGAAGGCTTGTGACATGAGAGGGCCCCCGAGCCTGCGCGATGGGCGCCTGCAGCGTCGTCCAATCGTCGGCCGAAAAAGGTGGAGGCTGCGACGCTGTGCCACCCGCCGCTTTGCCGGCAGTGGCCTCTGGGAAGTGTGGTCGCCGTGCACATCAGAGCCGCCCGAGGAGGCCCCCGAGGGGGGGGAGGCGAAGCGAAGGTCGGCTGCGTCCTCACCCCACTGCGCTGTTGTCCTCACGCGACGTCGCCCGAGCCCTCTTCCGTGTTGCAGTTGCTGCGTGATCCGGCTTCTCGCTACTGCGGAAAATGAAAAAGTAAGCATCGACAGGTCTAACGGGGAAAAACAGGCAGGGAGGCCCAGCTGCCGCACCGGCAACCGTCACATACACAAGTAGACAAAAGCAAGGTAAAGTTAAGTGTCCATAGTGATTGAGAATACCGGACATAGCCAATGCTATCGTAATAAAACCAATGTAATAAACTCTGAGCAGTTAAAATAGATTAAGAGAGTAATATTCATGTATAGATTGAACAGTAATATTCATGGTATAGTTTGGTTATAATAAGACCGTATTACTCATTGTATAGTTTGTTTATATTAAGACAGTATTAATCGTGGTATAGTATAGAAGAATTCAAACAATAATAATCTCAAAAGTAAAAACAAAATTAATTGAGTATCCCACTAGAAATGTACACTGCTTTAACACTGCAACAGTGTTATTAAGTAAATACCGGGCATAACTGGAGCTGGACTATGTAACAAATTAATCTTAGAAACTTAAATAATATAAATAACATAGCGAGGCCAAAACAGTAAGAAAGGCATAAGGCGTAAGCAGTGCTAGAAACAGAATAAATAGCGGAGTAAATACAAGACAAACTGAAACTGAACAAGTAAATAGCTTAAGACCGTATTATAATATACTTGTATTTAAGCTGAACAAATAAAAGATATAATATACTTGTATTTAAGCTGAACAAATAAAAGAGTAAACAGTGATAATCATGGATAATTTGGGTAGATTAAAGCAGGACTATACAAGGTATAGGATGGTTAGGTTGAACAGTAATATAGGCATGGTATAGTTTGGATAGATTAAAATTGTAAAGTTCATGGGATAGATTGGTTAATTAAACAGTACTTATTCATGGAATAGATGGTCTAGAGTAAACCAATAATAGTCTCAAAAGTGAAAACAAAATTATTTGCATATCCCACGGTAATGGACACTGCCTTAACGCTGCAACAGGAATAGTAAGTAAATACAAGGCATAACTGAAAGCTGAACAAAGTAATAAAATCATTTAGGGAACTTAAATAAATGATAACATGGCGTAGCTCACCCAAACCGACAGACCGCTCTACGGCATGCGCCTACCCTGGAGGAGTAGAACAGAACAGTGAGAACGGGAGGGGAATAATATATTCTAATAATAGAATAAGACCGTAATATAATGTACTTGCATATAAGCTGAACAAATAAAAGAAACAGTGGTAATCATGGGAAGATTTGGTAGCTTAAAGCGGGATTAATCAAGGGATAGGATGGTAGGTTAAGCAGTAATGTGCATGGTATGGTTTGGATAGCGTAAAACTGTAATGTTCAAGGGATGGAATGGTTATTAAAACAGTACTAATCAAGGGAGAATGGCTAGCCTAGCAATAATATTCTCAAAAGTGAAACAAAATTAGTTGAGTATCCCACAGCAATGGACACTGCATTAACGCTGCTAGAGGAATAGTAAGTAAATACAAGGCATAACTAAGCTGAACAATGCAATAATTAATTTAGAAACTTAAATAAAAGATAATAACATAACATAGCCCACCCAAGCGGACAGACCGCCCGACGGCATGCGCCTGCGCTGGAGGACAGGACAGGGAAACAGGAGGGAACGTGTACGTGCAGGAACAACAGGCGGCTACCGAGTGGACGAGACGTAAAGGTACAAACGGGCCGGTCTACCCCGACCAGGCCAAACGGCTGGGGCGAACATAACGTGGGACACCGGGGCCAGCAAACACCTGGGGACGAACAAACCGGGATACACCGGCCAGCCCAAACGACTGGGTACGAACAAGCCGGGATAAAGAACACTGTTTCCCAAAACGGTGGGTTTTCTGAGTGGAAGAAAACGTATGTCTGGAAGCCGACTTTAACCGCCCCAAGCTGCGCGCGCATTGACCCGAGGTTATATAAACCGGGACGGAGACGGCGTGGGCCCCTTTCCCCAAGCCAGCAGCTGCTCTTACATAACGACTCACTGCTGCTCAGCGAGTCGTAAACACAGAAGTTTAGCCCGCTCAACTGTTCTCCCAGCATGGACCCTACACCAGTTCCTCTCGACAACAACGACGAGGAGCGTCCCGTCAGGGGCGTCCTGCCCTTCTCAACATTTAAGGTAGTGTTTGTGTTTTGTTGGCGCGTCGACCAGTGTTTGTCTCTGTGTTGGCGCGCGCGCTCTGATGCACGCCTGCTGGTTCAGCCTTGGTGACCAAATGCAGGTGCAGTGGTCCTAGAGGGGGTGGTGCCCCTCGGTTTTATGGGGCACTGGGTTTTATCCAGTAGGTGGCTGTAATTTGGAGCACACTCGGGAGGAGGCCTGAACATCCCACCCCCACCCTCACCCAGTCGACGTGAGGCTTTACATTCA